CTCAGATGGCCCTTAGTGTTCTATATGTGTGTTTGCCTCGGGACTTGGGCCTTACCGAGAAGTTTCCTCTCTGGTCAGCTCTGGGAGTTCTCCCTGATCCTTGAGTTCTGGCCCTGGCAGCTGGATCCCGTCCTGCCGGCCCAACAGGGTGTGTGAGATCTGTAAGTCTCCGCCTCGCCATCTGGGCGTTTCCCCTCTCTGTGTGCACATGATGGGGCCTCCCGGAGGGTGCGTCTTTTTTTCCCAGACTCCTCCTCGAGAGCTGTGCTTTTAACCACCTTTGATCCAGCTGCAGGTGCAGGCCTGGTGTGGTCTCCTGTCTGGACAGTGGGAAGAGAGCAACGCAGAAGGACACTGGCTCACTGTAAGTGCACAGTAAATGGGAATGGAGTAGCCAGGAGCTTCTCAGATCCAGAATTCCTTTCCCCAGCTGAAAAGAGCTTTGAGAGGCACGGGGTGTGGGAGGAACACTGGACAGGCCGCTGGGGACTTGGGTTTGCATTCCAGCCCTGGCACTGACTAGTCATCCAGCCTCTGTAGACTTTGTTTTCATTTGTAGGCTGATAGGATATGTCTGGAATGATGACCTTTTATCCCATCCTATGATTATGTGGTTTGCTTTTAAACCATGATTGGCACTGATTTCTCACCCTTGCCTTTCCAGAGTGCCTTTACATTGGTTTGGCTTTAGCTGTGCAGCACTGATTGCTTCTGGTGGGATCATTGGCTATGCAAAAGCACGTAAGGTTTTGTAGGTACTTAGCCTCTTGGAGAGAGTCCTCAGGGTCCCCAAAGAGCAGTCCCACTTGAGTCGTTTGCCATAGGCCTTCCAGCTTGAGCGCGGGGTTGGTTGTCAGTCCCGTAGCTTCTCCTGCACTCACGTGTGGTTATCTGGTCGAGCCAANCCCGGGGCGCCGCGCGCGCCGCAGTTTCGGCGAGACCTTGAACCCGGCCCGGGGTCTGACCCGCCTGTCCATCTGCGCAGACGTTGGGGAGAGCGGCTCCGGTACCTGGGAAGTGTCGTCAGTTTTGCCTTTTCCGAGTTACTTGGAGGCTTCTCTGCCGCCTGCTTTGCGTCCCCCGATCCGGGCGGGGCGTCGGGCCGCGTCGCCGGTGCTTTCGTCGCCGCTCGTTGTCCGCGTTCCGTGGAGTGGGTTTGAATCCCGCGGGAACCCTGCGCTCCGGAGGCGGGTGCTTAGCCGCGGAGCGCGGTGCTGACTTGTGTCCTGGAGGTTTCATTGCTCCGTGTCTTGAAGCACAAGGTAAGTGCCGCTCCGAATGCACGCCCCTGGGCACGGCTCCAAGGCCCTCGCCCACCCCCAGTTTTTTTGGAAACTTAATTCGTTAAACAGAGCGAAAGGGGCGTGCGTTACTTTCAATCTTGTTGGACTCCCTGATACAACATGTGTTTTTAAAGAAAACAGTTACTTTTCCAAGGGTGCGGTGTCACGTGCAACGACAACTAGGGTGTTTCGTGTAGTACTTTGTCCTCCCCTCCCCCTTTCCCAGTCCAACTGTGATTTGGATGCAGAAAGTTCTAAAGGTTCACAAACGTGGAGTATTTTAATAATTTCATTCTTGGAGCAGGGGGGAAAGCAGCACCTCTACTCCGCCCTGAAGAGACACTAAAATCGTTGATTTAAAGGGACGGGAGTATTTGCTTTCCGATGTAGTAATAACTTGGTTAACCGGTGAAAGGGTTAATAGTCGCCTCTCCAGAGCTGGTCCTTGAATCTTGCTCAGTTTCCCGTGGACCTTTGTTACTAGAATTGAGGGCGTTACAAAAATGGTTGGTATCTGTTCAGTACTTACCACGGGCCGAGCACTTTCACATATTAGCACACTTGAATGCTGACAACAGCCCCAGGAAAATGGTACCATGGTTGTCATGGTGCAGTGAAGGAAACCGGGGTTTAGAGAGGGTGGGTAGCTTGCCGGTTACTTCTTAGCTACTAAGGGCTAGAGCTGGAACTCGGACCCACTTCTTTCTTACTGTTCGAGAGCTGTGCTTTTAACCACCTTTGATCCAGCGGCAGGTGCAGGCCTGGTGTAGTCTCCTGTCTGGACAGTGGGAAGAGAGCAAGGCAGAAGGACAGCGGCTCACTGTAAGTGCACAGTAAATGGGAACGGAGTAGCCAGGAGCTTCTCAAATCCAGAGTTCCTTTCCCCAGCTGAAAAGAGCTTTGAGAGGAAACTGCCTCGGGCAGCATGGGGTGTGGGAGGAACACTGGACAGGCCACTGGGGACTTGGGTGTGCGTTCCAGCCCTGCCACTGACTAGTCATCCAGCCTCCGTAGGCTTCCTTTTCATTTGTAGGGTGATAGGATATGTCTGGAATGGTGACCTTTTATCCCATCCTATGATTATGTGGTTTGCTTTTAAACCGTGACTGGCACTGATTCTCGCTCTTGCCTTTTCAGAGTGCCTTTACATTGGTGTGGCCTTAGCTGTGCAGCACTGATTGCTTCTGGTGGGATCATTGGCTATGCAAAAGCAGGTAAGGTTTTGTAGGTACTTAGCCTCTTGGAGAGAGTCCTCAGGGTCCCCAAAGAGCAGTCCCGCTTGAGTCAAGTTTGCCATAGGCCATCCAGCTTGAGCGCAGGGTTGGTTGTCAGTCCCGTAGCTTCTCCTGCACTCACGTGTGGTTATCTGGTCGAGCCAAGCCAGGCTTCTTGTCCGGTCACTTGTTTTTGCCTCTTTATCTAACGATAGGCGGGGGTGGTAGTAAGTTATTATCATTGACTGCCGTATATTAGCCTGGACCCTAAAGTGCCATCTCTGGGCTCTTCAAGTAGGAGGAAACCTCTGATCTTCACATACTCGTATTTTGAAGTCTCCTCATTAAACTAGGTAGAGCGTGTCAGTGAATGTGTTGTTTCTACCTCCTCCACCCCCATCCTTATCTGCATCCCCACTCCAACATGCACACACCACAATTCTTATTCTCCAATTTTTTAAAACTGACTGGCCCTGTTTCCCTTTCCTTTTGTGATTTACATGAAGTCCTGCACATACACAATTCCAGCCTTTGGTTGATCAGGCCTGGTTTAAGGATGGAAGATCTTTTCTCTTCTTAGATGGAAGTGCCCTTTTCCCTCCTCAGATGGAAAAGTCCTGCCTGTTAGAGGAGAGGGGAATGGGGTGGGGAGACCCTGGCTTCTCTGGTAAGATAGCAAACTCCCCCCAACATTTTCCTGTTTGCGAAAGCCTTGGTTATGAACCATGCTGAGAAAAGTTCCGTGTGCTGTGTTCCTGTGTAGGGAGGGGAGTCAAGTGTCCGACCTTACAGCGCAGGCCTGTGTTTGCTTCCCTCTAGGTAGCATGCCATCCTTGGCTGCCGGGCTCCTCTTCGGGGGCTTAGCAGGCCTGGGTGCTTACCAGCTGTCTCAGGATCCGAGGAACGTCTGGGTTTTCCTAGGTGCGTCTGTCTGCCTCAGTGTCTCAGCGCAGCTATGTATCCAGAATACTCTACCAAAAGGCCCTGGTTTGGTGGGATGTGGCAGGTTCCTCACACTTCTGACAGTTTCTGTGCTTCTGCCAAGTCCTAAGAAAGTTTTAAAATGGGGCGGGCGGGGGTGTGCTAGTCTCTGTTTATGTTTTATGTCCAGGATATGGAAAGGTTTTCATACATCACTAATTTAGTTTTACCCAATGAAATTAGTACTCTCCTTGTACAAGCTAAGTATGTGCCTGTTAACCGTGGAGGTTGCCTACTGAAGACTGTCTGCAGGGGCACTACTGAAATACCACACTTGTGGGTCATGTTTGCATCACTACTGTGTTTTTCCCATTTGAAAATCACTTACCTCTATAGCAGTCAGCTAAGAGTGGAACACACAGGCCTTCCCTTCAACTTACTGCGTCGTGAAACGTGAGCATAAAACGCCCTGCGAGCAGCACACTCAGCGAGGAGTGTGGGGANGTCTCAGCGCTTCCTAAGAGCTCCCCACCTCAAGCTCCACGGGGACTTTCAGATCTCTTCTCCCCCATCTCAGATCCCACTCCTCCACTTTCAGCAAATGACCTCACGCTTACCTTAACAGAAAATACAGCAGCCACCAGCTGGGGCCTCCCCTCCAGCCATGGGCCTCCCTTCAAGCCATCGGCCTCCACGCCTTCCCTTGTCTTGTTCCCTCCTCTCCAAGGCCAGTCCCTCCACCCTGGGGGATTTGGGGTCTCCTGCACCTTCCCTGGAGCTTTACATGACCGAGGATCCCATCTTTTATTTGTATTCCGCCTTTTAGCTGGATCCCTCCCATAGATGCTCACACATGCTCATTTCTCACCCATTTAAAAAAGAAGGACCTCCGTAACCCCACTTCTTCAGTTGCTTGCCTTTTCCTTCCCGTTTGGGAACTTCCCTAAAAAATTCAAACTCCGTCCCCATTTTCTCCCCTCGTATGTTATTGACCCACTTCAGTCTCCATTGACCTGTGACCTGTGTTTGTACAACATCCAATGTACATTTCTTTCTCTCTCTCTCTTTTTTTTAATTATAAAGAAAACAAAACTTATTGCTTATAGTTTTGGAGGTTGGGAAGTCCAAAGTGCAGGGAACACATCTGATGAAGTGAAAGTATTGGTGACGGTGACCCAGGCAAAATGGCAGAAATGGTGGAGCGGAGAGAGAGAGAAACTCTCACGTGCTCTCCTTTTAAAGCCTCAGAACCACCCCCATTATTCCAAGAATGGATCAGTCCATTCAGGAGGGGACAGTCCTCACAATCCACCTTTCAGTTACCATAATAGGATTCCCCTCCCTCTTAACAGTCACAGTGGGGACTGTGTTTCTAATACATGAAACTTGGGACACAATTCAACCCACGGTGTGCATGTTTCAGGTCTCATTTTGCTTGCCCTGTTAGCTGTTCTCAGCATCGTCGGCCAATCAATTCCCATTCTCCTGGTTCTCCTTTTATCTTGTCATTCTCTTTTGTCAACCCATCTTCCTTTCTGGCCATTAAATATTGACCTTCCTAAGGCCTGGCTCTTTTCCCCTTCTTTGTTCTCTTTCACTTGACAATGTCATTGAAGCCCATACCTTT